TTTTTTTTTTTATTCCCTTTTTGTGTGTGTATCTCATCTTGTGTACAGTTTTTCCTCTTGGGTTTTGCAGAGATGTCTACATTTGGGTCGGATCTCATCTGTGTTTTCATTTTGTTGATCAGTACCTTTTGCTGCGTTTTGCCGGAGATTATTGAACTTGTGATGGGCTTTCTAACCGTTAGACGGGTCGACTTGTCATATTTTCCGTTTATTTTGTTGTTTTATTAGAGTGACATTTCAATTTGAAAGTATGCATATGCGGTGGAAAAGTATGATTACCCGTAACCTTATTTTTTTGTTTTGGTGTGTGCTTTAGCATGTACGATTTCATATGAGATTCCGAGTTAGAATAACTAACTAATTCAGCATTATAGTTTCGACTTCCAACAAGAGAGGATACGGCTCTCGACATGTTCGATATGGTTCAAATCTGTTGAAAAATTGAGACATGATAATCTCGTGGATCGAGCTTTAGGAAAGCAAAAAACTCGATTTGTGATGCCGGACCAACACTTATGAGTAGTTATATCCAATTACAAGATGAATGTAATATTTTAAGATAGCCAAAACACTCAAAGATGTGATTTTTATTGTTGTTCTTTAATTATGGTTTCTTTAAACTTAAATTATTATTATTTTTTTGCCGGAAAATTGAACAAGTATATGTTGTTCTTCATTTAGGTTGAAATTTCACATAGTTAAGTTATCTTGTTGCATACGGAAATTATGTTACTACTTACTACCGTTCTCTTGGTATATTACAAGGCTTAACACTCTAGGATATGAGGTTACACCTCGTACTCTGAAAAAAAATAAAAGGAATCTGGTAAATAAAGTAATTTCTTTTTAGTGTTTATGTTAACGCCTCTTGTGGATCTGTATAGATTACGAAGAATACCTTACCTATTTGCTCGATAAAAAATTGTTACGTCTCGATTATATCGGTTTGTTTCTTTCTATCTTTCTTTCCTTTTCCATAAAATGGATTAATAACTTTTGTGTGCATCCATCATAATTTTATTTGTTGCATAAAATGTAGGGTCACATCCACTGTTTGCTTAGTATCTCTAGAAGAAGTTGATTTCTTCTCCATTTATTTTCTTCAATTATTACTAACTTTTGTATTGAATGTATTTGCATTCGACTTTATTCAGCGGATTTTAATCGGACATCTTGGACCAGGAAGGCAGACACAAGATAAACACACGAGTCGAATTTTTTTTGGAAGTTTGTGGTAAAAAAAACGTCGCGTTCTGAACTAGGACCACCCCCCAACGGTATGTTCCGTCTGATTTTGATTTCGTTAAATTGTCATTATTAGGCTTGTTTGTTGTCATCATAAGACCAATGCCAAGGAGAATGCCATTTCTTTTTTAATTTATCTAGCTGTTTTCTGGAGCATGTTATTGATTAAATTGTCGTGAGTTGCCGAACAACTACTTCTTGGGGGGTTCTCAGTAATATCGGCAAGTTACAGTGTGGCCTTTTGTACTGATAAATTATGAACCTTTTCATGTACTCCAATCGAACAAATTTTACCTGACTGGGTTTCAATTTTGCACCGTGATTGCTAATTTCATCTAAGTTTTAGTATAGATTGAAAGGTACGGTATATAGATTTGTACTTCAATTTCTTCGTTGAAACGCACTTAGTTTGCCATAGATGTACTCGAACAATCTCCCAACTGAAAATCATAAAAAGATGCAATATAAGAGAAATGACAATATGAAAGATAACTTGAAAATCTATATAAATATTTCCCAATTTCTTCTGGCTTACAACATTGTTGGATTTTTCACCTTTTTGTACACTTTCTGCAAAATTGCCATAGAAGTAGGACTTATTACATCTTCTTCACTAGCCAAATGCTCTACGAAAACCCAGAAAAAAAAAAGAGAAAGAAACTCATACATACGCATTAGTCGAGCAAACATTTCATACTACGCCAAGACACAATCCAACAATAAAAATCATCGAAAAACAACACGAGCTACAAAATCCCACTTCCCACCAACTTAATACTCATTACCTCAAAACTTGCAAAAGCCTTTTTACTTATTCGCCCCGTGTCCCGACCAGTCTTTGTCTCCTTTTCTTCCATTCCTCTCATGATGTTTTTTTTGCTTCTCATATTTTTTCTCATCAGTAGACTTTTTCTTTTCATCCTTTTTTCCTGCATGGCCGAGTGCCGAAGCACCGTTTTCGTACAAACGTCGGTTCTGATCGCTCGGGCCGGACGACGCATCGGAAGCCATGTCATCGTCGTTGTCCATGTCATCATCGTCCTCTTTACGGCCCCGCCGACCTAAGCTAACATCAGCTTCCTCTTCTTCTTCTTCTTCTTCAAGGTTTTCTGCATGATCGATGATGTCCGTTTCTTGGTCTGGCGACGAAGCTATGTACATCGTCCAGCCCGACTCGCTGCTGCTACATTCTTCATCACCGTCAAGAATTTTCGTTTTCGAAGAATCCATTTCTTTTTCTTTCCCTATCTTTTTAAATCTCTGTTTGGGCTTATGCAGGGAGAGAAAGAAAGAAAAAACAAGAACTTTGCTGAGGATAATGAGAGTATTTATGAAAACCAACTGCTAAAAATGCAGTGGCTATTGGGCCAATTTTCTTCTCAATTTGACTCTTTTGTTTTTCCTTGAGGCATCATTGAATGAGAAAGTACTGCTTAGCTGTCTCTGCAGGTACATAAATTATCTGGCTTTTATTACTACCTTTACAGGTGAACTGCAAAAAAACAAACAAAAAAACACTCAACTTATAGAACATGAATTTTTATTTTTTATTTTTTTTTTTTATTTTTTTCCTTTTAAATTGGAAGATATATACTTTGTGTTTTCTTGATTGCTCTCTCTCTCTCTCTCTCATTACACCTCAAAAACTGCTAAATTGTTTTACTTTACTACTCAATGGCTTACTCCTCTGTCTGCTTCATAAATGCAAAGCTGCTAAAATACAGGTAAGCCTCACTCTACAAATGGCAAAAGAATGTATGGTAAATGACCCATCTTTTTTTAAGTTACAAGTAAATTTATATTTATATATATATATAAATTATTTTTGATGGAACATTTAAATTTGTGTGTTTTGGCATTGATACTAAAGGAGCAGTCTTTCATGTGAAATTTTGCAGTGAATCCAACTGTGTATTTTGGCTGATTGTATGCAATGTGTATGGTCATTATCATCCCAAATCAATCCTTTGTTGTAATCTCCTTTTCTTGGCCTTTTATTTATTTATTTATTTATTTTTTTT